GAGAGAGGAGTGGCATAGACTATTCAGAGGTAAGCCCTCCAAAGACAGCAACAATGATGAGGAGGACGACAACGATGATGATGGATATGACCACAAATACAATAAGTGAAAGCACTGGGGAAACAGGTGTGGGGAGTTGGGAAGGGAAGGAGGAAGGGTGGGGTGGGGCACTGAGGTAGTCCTTTATGTAATTGTGATGGTTAAATTGTGATGGTGACAGTCATGCAGGAACACAGGTGTGCAGGTGTGTGGTGCAGTTTTTGTAACAGGAATAAGAATGGTATAATTGTAAAGGTGTGTTTTGGACTGTCAAGTGAACCACAGTATTCACAAGATAGATAGATAGATAGACAAACAGACAGACAGACAGACATTTTTTAATATAAAGTACCTGGCAGGGGAGATACCACAATGATGCTGTTGGCCCACGTGGTTTTACTGTACCTGGCAGGGGAGTTCCCCTTCTTCCTGGCCTTGAATGACTTGGTGTAGTTGAGGGTGGAGAGTTGTCGATCCGTTGATCTGTCCTTTGCACTGCAGGCAGGCACCCCTGTGAGTCCACCATAGCCTCCCAATGTGAGGATCTTGGTTACACAATTTATGGAGATGAGGGATTGATTTCAGGCTTTCCCCCTAGCTTGTTCCTTCAGTCTTTTGGCTATGGGCAAGTGAGACTAGAGGGCATTTCAACTCCAAGGCAGTGGCCTCCATGCTTTTGGCTTGCATGTAGGATGCCTGCCATGGATTTGAGAGTATCTGAAGCCCCAGGATGAAGAGTCTGGGAGGGAAAATACTGGCCAGTGGTAGCACAACACAGACTTGAACAATTAAGTTCTGTTCAGTCAACAAAATTTGGAACTGATTTGGTTGATTTAGTCTGAGACATAAAATTAAAAAATAAATAACATAACATAATGATATTTGGGTAAGCAGGACATGAGCCACAGTCACTCCTCTCACTCCTGCCTCCTGTAGCTATTTCACCTTCCACAATGGCAGACTTCCCCAGGGCATTTCCTAGTACACACTGGGTGTATCTACATGAAACACTTAATGGACAGTAGCCTAATAACACTGCACAGTAGCCTAATAACACTGCACAGTAGTGCATCACAGCACAGGCAGTGCTAATACACTATTGTGCAGTATTATTAGGCTGCTGTGCAGTAGCATCACCAAAAAGGCATTTACCAGCACTATCCACAGTGCACAGTAACTCTAGTTACTGTGCATTTAGCTAGTACTTCTTTAAGTGAGTACTAAATTAAATGCACAGTAACTACTGTGCCTTAATGTGTAGACACACCCACTGGTCTCATCTCACTAATAGGGCTCCTGGTCCTGGTGCTGTTTTAGGAATTGGATAACACAATTAGGGGCCCTGACAACACTTCTGAAATTGCCTAGCCCCCTTCCCTGCTGCACAGACACAGCTGGTCCCCTTCCCCACCAAATTCTGGGTGATGCTGAGTCTGTGTCACTCTGGTCATGGTGCATCACAGGAGCAGGGATGTGGAGCTGTTTATTTCCCCCACTTACTTTCTGGGGCAGGATCTGGCCAGCTCCAGATTAAGGCCCTCCTGCCCCTACCCATGAGCAGCTCATAGACCCTGCGGTGATGCGTGCTGGCACAAAGACTGCATTGGGTTGCACAGGCATAGGACAGAAGCCTGCCCACCTCCCACCCGATATGCTTTGGCCCAGGACAGCAAAAGCATCAGGATATAAAAAGGCTTTGATTTCAGGCTGCTTTTGACCAGCCTGTGGCGCTGGCTAGTAGCACTGCCAACACAGGACCCAAATGCAGTGATGGCTGGGCTGTCCCAGTCTGAACCAGAGAGACTCACGGGGACTGGCACCAGGAGGAGAAAACCCCAGTCCTGCCTTGCCTTCCTGTGGTCCCCAGTACCCTGGACAGCAGTATGGCTGGCAGTCAGGTCAATGCCAACTAGAGCAAAGACTGGGCAGGGACAAGGTCAGCTGGGGCCTCAGCTCTGAGTTCTCTTCCATGATTGTGTCTGGTCTGTGTGATGACTATATGCCCATTCATAGCCCAGGTAGGATGCTACCACCCTCAGCTGAGCCACAGTTGTCTTCAAAGTAAGACACAGGCACCCCAAACAAGCTGGCAAGAGTTGCTGACCAGCCTCTTCAGTGCTTCTTTTGTGCTCAGCCGACTGGGGGAAGGTGCTGCTTATGTCATGTACCCCCACCATCCCCAGCCCCTGCCCCAGTGCAAAAGCAGAATGGAGAGAAATACCTACAGCAAGGCCCTGGCAACACAGGCAGAGCCAGGGCCCAGCTGCAGGGCAGTAACTGGGCCAGTAGCCTCCATGGAGAAAGCTGCAGGTGAGCAAAAGCCATATTCCCCTCACACCCCTGGGACTGTGCATAGTGCAGGGGTGGTTGGAGGCAGTAGTGAGAGGCACTGAGATGAGGCTGCTGCCGGGCAGTGAGCAGACTGGGACTGTGTGAAGTGAAGTGCAGGGAGCAGTAGCCTTGCTCAGGGATTCCCATGTGGGAGCACCTAGCCTGCAGTTGGGTCCCCTCAGCTGGGAGAGGAGGTCAATCCCTAGAGTAGCACATCCCCCAGTTTGGAGGAAAGATGGCCCTGCCCAGATTTTGGATTTGCTAGCCCTGGACACCCTTGGCTGGGGTGAGAGAGGATGGGAGTGGGGTGGCTGATTGTGTCTTCATCACTCACAGCCCTGGGAAGAGGGCAGGGATAGTGGCTCTTGCCCAGGCACCCTAGAGGCAGGACTCTCATGTGTAGCATTGATGTGGTTTCCCAGGTGCGTTCTGTGTCCCCATCCTAGGTGTTTTCTGTGTCCCGTTCCCCCCAGAGAAGCTCTGCCTGAACACTTTGCTGGCCAATCAGGGAGCCTTGACCATCAGGAACACCAAGCGAGGTCCCTGAGGGCACATCTACAGGGCGCAGTCATGCCAGCCAGAGACCCCCAAGTGACATCTATATGAGTTAGTTCAGCCCTGAAAAAGATGCACCGCGCTAATGTGATGCTCTGCTGGAACAATCTCCTTTGCTCCCAGGCAGGCACCACACTGACCTGGCCAGGATGCTCTGAGCTTGGAGATGCTGCATTGGGATTTTCCTGGGGTATCTCTGTGGGGCACTGCACTGGGTAGAGCAGACCTACTCTGGATGGTCCGTGTGGGGGCTCAAACTGGGGCTGTTTTTGTCCCCAGCACCTGCCCAGAGGATAATACCACAAATTCACCTCTATAAACACACACCATTATGGGTGTAAGTGACACCAAATCCAGCTGTGTCTCCCTCTCACGTGAATGCATCCCAGGGACACTGTAACACAGAGGCCCCATGTATCAGTGCTGGGACATGGGTGGCCAGGCCTAGAAGCCAATCAGGGCTCAAGATTACTAGATAGGGGTATAAACCGGAGTCAGAGATAGAAAGTGAGTTTGTGGACAAGCTGAGTCAGGGACCCAGGAGACCAAACAGAGTGAAGTCTACAAGCAAGCTGAGTCAGGGCCCCAAGGGGTCAGGAAGCAGCCAGTTACCAGAGGGGAAGTCTAAGCTCAGGAAGAGCCCTGTTGCCCAGACACTTCCTATTCATCTCCCTCGATCATCATTCCCTGCAGAGGGTCCTTTGCAGACCTGGTAGTCAGGCAGCACAGTACCAAATTAGGCACACCTCTGAGGAGGGAGGAAGAGGAGTAGCAGCAGCAGCTCCAAATCCAAGACCAAGTCAGGGCTGGAGTCAGAGCTGCAGCAGCTGTCTCCTCCCCCCTCCTCATCCCCCCCCCCCCCCCCCCCCCCCCCCCCCATCTTAAATGGGGGGGAAAATCTCATCTTGAATTCACGTAAAATACAATAGGTTGGTGACTTCTACAGAGCCGTCTGCACGGGCACATATCTGGCATGCTACACCAACTCCCCAACACCTGTCCCTTCTGTGAACAGAGGGAGACCCTTGTGCACGCCTACAAGTGTGCCAGGGTTCAGCCTCTCTGGCACTTCCTCAGGAACGTCCTCTTGAGCTTCTGGCTGCACTTCTCCACATGCCTCTTATTTTATGCACTCCCCATCCAAGGTCCCACAAAGTCCCAGGACCTCCTGGTCAACCTCCTCCTGAAACTGGCCAAATTCGCCATTCACCAGACCAGGAAGGAGGCTCTGGCCAGAGGGAAGTTGAGCAGCTGCTTTCCTATCGCTCCTCCACACACGTCTCCAGGCAGTTTCACTGGAGAGCATCCACAGGTTCAAGGGGCAAAGGGTGCTGGCTGCTGCTCTCTGCTTGGTGTTCCCCCTCACAAGCCTCATTATCCACCTATGACTTTCACTCCCAACCTTGGTTTTTCATTTCTTGCCCTGAGCAAGCAATTGGTATGCATCTAGTAGCCTCCCTGTAATCAAGGGAGGCTTATAGCTTTCCTGGAGGACTCTCACCCACCACGCTCCCTGCATAGGATGCATAGTTTGTTTGTCTCCCTGAATTCATATAGGCCTATTTGAAACCATTTTTGCATGGGCCTTAAGCCCACTAATTTACAAGAGGCCGCCACTTATAGGCGGCGAGAGAACTGAGCTTATATAGGAAGGAGTGGAGCGTCAGGTAACAGCAGCCAGGAAGTGGATGAAGTCTTGGGCCCTGCTGAGTCTTTAAGCAGGACAAATCCAGCTTCTGGGAGCACCAAGAGGGTGGTGGGTTGAGATAGGTGCTATGCTGGTAAGGCTAAAAGCGTGGGCTCAAGGCTCCAGGTTTCTGCCCTGGAGGGACTTGGACCCAACAGGTGACAATACTCAAGCAAAGGTAACCTCAGCCCTGTGCTTGCAGGTAGCCTGGCCCAACCCTCCTCATAATAATGTCTTATGTGCAGTCAGGGACCATAAAAAATGTTATGTGACCTGCATGTCCAGTGACAACAAACCAGAGCAGCTCATCTGACAGGCAGGAGCTGTTTTTTCAAGTAGTCATGAGTAAAGAATAAACCCAGGAAAATTGTGATTAACCTACAAGCAGTTGGTTAGTTCATAGCTTTATCAAATGTCAGAGAGCTGGGGTCCAGACACATTTACTGAGAGTAACAATAACAGATAGCCTTCTATTAGAGAGACCTGCTGCCACCTGCCCACGCAGCTAGCAAGATCTCCGATCTGCCCCATGTACCTTCCATAGCTGGCAAACGTAGCAATCTGCAGAGCTTCAGCCACTACCTACACAACTCTTACATGAAAAAGGAAACAAGAACCAACATAACCTATAATCCCTTTGTAATGACATGTGGGTAATGCTGAGCAGAGCCCTGTGGGGGCAAAAACCAGTCTGGCAGTGTAGCATCATGAAGACAGAGATGTGGAGCTCTGTCTTTCTGCCCCCCACCCAGCTCTCTGGGGCAGCGGCTGGCTGCAAATGAGGCCCTTCCTATCCCTGGCTATGAGGAGGTCCCACAGACCCTGCAGTGACAGGCAGTGGCACAGAGACCGCAATGGGGTCATATAGGCAGTCTCTGGCCCAGGACAGTGCAGGCATTGGGGTGTAAAGGGACTTTTATCTTGGGTTGTTCCCAGCAACCTGTGGTGCTGGCTGTTAAAGCTGCTTATACAAAACCCAAACACAGCAATGGCCAAACTGCCCCAGCCATGACCCAGAGAGATATGGGGGAGCTGCCATCAAGGGAGAGCCCCGGCTTTGCCCTGCTCCTCTGCAGGTCCCTGCCCCACCCCTGCGGGCAAAAAGGGGGCTGAGAGCTGGGCCAGAGCTGGGAAGGGATGGCCCATGCTGTGTGTGTCAGGGTCAGCGCTGGGTGAGACTGGGCAGATGGTCAAGGGACCTGCATTTGTGCCCCCATCATTGAGACAAGGACTGAAATAAGGGCACAGGGTCCCAGAGAAGGTGTCATTGAAGGTGAAGAGATGGGACTTGTCAGTCACATTATAAAATGAAACCTTACCTGCCTCGTAGTCCAGGAAAACCCCCACCCGCATGGGCCTCACACGCACAGAGAGGGGAATTCTGCAAGAGGCGCTGGCTTTGTATCCCCTGTCCCGCAGCCACAGGGTCCAGTATCCATTGCCAGGTTTGCATATGATGTCCCCCTTCCTGTGCACAGACTCCCTGCACACCCCCAGACCCCAGCGCCTCTTGTCTCCCACCTCCACCTCCCAGTAGTGTCTGCCACCCATGAACCTCTCAGAGCCAAGGACATTTACATAAGTATCAAATCTCTCAGGGTTGTCAGGTACATCCTGTCGTGTGCCTCCTTCTCTCACACTTTTCCGATCTTCAGACAGGATGAGGTAGGGATGAGCCGTGTCTGGGTCCAGAGTCACATCCACTGGGGAGAGAGAGTCACAGGATCAGGGCTGGTCCCTGCAGTCAGATGGAAATTTGCCTACATCCCCAGGAATCAGCTCCCAGCTTTGAAATCACAGGTGCCCAGAGGGGAAATGGGGAAAACCAGAAAAGACACCAGGAGCAGAGTGGAACATTCCCACCCAGCCTGTTCCTTCCCTGGGGCAGAGGCATGGGGGAATGAGGGCTGGGTGTTGGACCCATGGGAGGTAAGGAGAGGGGCAAGTGCCAGGGGGTAAGAGGTGGCAGCAGGTCAGGCCCTAGTGGGGGGAGGAGCTAAGAGGTGCTGCGAGGGGTGGGGGTAAGAGGGGAGGATGAAGACAAGCCCTCCGGGAAGGAAGAAGAGGATTGTGGGGAGGGGAAGATGAGAGGATAGGGCTGGACCCAGGGGATCTCTGCTCTGAAGTCAGGACTAAAAGCAATTTGTATCCCTGCCTCTCCCAAGCCCAGGTTGGGCTGCTCTGGGGGTGCAGCTGGGACCTGCCATACCCACCAGCCCTATGGGCATAGCACAACTCTCCTCACCCAGCTCTGGGGACAGCCATGTCTGGGCTCAGCTGGTGGAGAGGAGAAGGCAGGGGGCCCTGGGGAGTGGAACTAGACACTGGGGAAGCTGGGCCTGTTGATAATGAGTCTGGGGTCCAGTCCTTGCTGACTGCCTCCTCCCTCTGGAAGCAGCTGCACAGGGGTAAGTGCCAGTTCACACCCATGTAATGCACCTGCTCCAGGGATTTGCACTGGGGCAGCTGCATTGACCAACGGGGCTGGAGGAGCTGCGCTGAAAGGAAAGCACCAGTCCACGGTGCTTTGCGGCCTGGCCCTTGCCAATCTCTGTACAGGGCATGTGTCTCTGAGAAGATTGCTGCTGACAAACTCTCGCCATTTGTCCCACACACAGATCATCCCAGTGCCAGAGGAAAGACCAGCCCCAACTGTGCCACACAAGCCCTCGCACAGACAATACCCATGAGTGCAGCTCAGAGCAGCAGCGTCCCCACAAGCAGGGCCGGGTCAGTGCCAGGGAGCAGACTGAGGCTGGGTCAGTGCCTGTGAGCTCTAGCAGCGAGCATGGCGCCAGCATCAGTGAGTGATGGGGCCCTTGGTCTAGCCAGCCTGGAGCAGTCAGGTTGTCCCTCAGGATGGGAGGCCCAGCCCAGGAGGGGTTTCATGGTAGGGTCTGCTCAGAGGCATTTTGCTGGGGGCTGATGAAAGGCAGCTAGTGATTTCCTTGTATCTGGTACAGCGTTACCCAGAGAGGTTGCCCAGAGTTATCCAGAGAGGTGGTGGAACCTCCATTCTTGGAGGTTTCCAAGACCCAGCTAGACAAAGCCTTGACTCAGGTGATCTAGTTGGGGCTGGTCCTGCTTTGAGCAGGGGGGTGGACTAGATGACCTCCTAAGGTCCCTTCAACCCTCATTTTCTACGATTCTATGAAACTGTGTAAGGTGCACATGGGTGATGTATGGATATGTTCAGATTATGATAGTGGTCTCAGCCATTTGCCAAGTCCCTCTCACATCTACGTGACTGCCAGGTGCAGGCCGATGTACACATGCTGGCTAATCCATGAGGGAACAGCCTATTCTCAGATCTTTGCCATCATTAAGGCTCGTTACCTGGTTCTCAGGACCTCATTGCTTAAATTGGAGCCCTGAAACTGCCAGTCCTTGGTCAGTGTGAAGGCAAATGATCTGGCTGTCTGTGGCTCAAGACTGTACTGAGGAGAAGGGATAAGGATCCCAGCTCACTCCTGGGCCCAGGATCTCACAGGGTCCAGCCCTGCCTAGGGCCCAACAGGCACAGAGTGCACTGGCAGCAAGGGGAGAAGGCAGCAGGGACACAGTGACTCTGGCTGGTCAGAGGGACAAAGCCCAAATTTGGGGCACTGGGACAGTGACAGAAGCAGATAAAGGAAGTGCAACTCCCCAAGGGGAGCAGTCTGGGGTCACTGACACGGAGGGGTCAAGGTCACTCACTTGCATGTGCTCGGGCTCTTCTGTATCCTGGAATTAGCCAGCAGAGAGAGAGGTGAGACTTCACACAGCAATCACTGCAGTGGTACCCAGTGCAGAGACACTGGGGCAAACCCTGCCTTCCCACCCTGCCAAATGCCTGGGTCTGCCCAGGAGCTGGGGGTGAGGGAGAAGTGAGGGCTGCAACCTTTGGCCCCAGATCTCTGCAGCAATCAGATGAGAACTAAACACCCACAACTCAGGGATTCCCAGAGGGAGGTTCCCTTCAGCAGCATGAATCCTGCCTCATCAGCCTCACCCAAAGGAGGGGGCTGGAATCCTGCCTGAGTGGGGAAATGCTGGTGTCACATCCAGGGGCACCAAGGGAGAATCAGTATCACTGTGAAGCCATCACTTCTCCATGCGCTGATGTTTGGGGTCTCAGTACCCAGCTGTCCCTTCTCAGCAGTGCCCCCTTTGGTCTATTTGAGTCTCAGGCTGTTGTCATCTCAGCAACACACATCTAAGCGTCCAGAGGCAGCTGTAGCCAGGCCTGCCCGTGGGCCTCCTCCCATATGGCCTAGGTCTGCACTGTCTCAGAGACAAGGATAGGAAGGGCCCCCACTCCCCCTTGTCTGTTCTGACCCATGCCCTTGTCACACATTTCCCTGCTGGTGTCTCTCCTCTGCAGACCACTTCACACCACCCAGCCTGCAGCTGGTGCATACAGAGGAACACAGGCCCATCAGTGGTTGCTCCCTCCCCTGGATTTCATCAAAGAGAGAAAGCAGGAAATTAGATCCCATCAGGGTCTCATCTTAAGGATTTCATCTTAGCACTGGTAGGAGTCCCAGGGCTCATCCAAATGCTGTCATTTCCCTTAGGAGCCAGTGGGGAGGGGGACTAATGCATGAGCTTCCAGAGGCACAGGGGCTCATCGCTGTCAGTCAGACAAGGTGGAAGCCAGGACACTGAAGATCTGGCCCTGAACTTGTCTGTGATAGTGTCTCTCACACCTGTCCCTCTGCTCTGGAAGCCACTCTCCCCGTGACAGCTGGCTGGTGCTGCTGCAAGGTGGGTCACTGTCACTCTGAGCTCCTGCACTCAGGCAGGGAGGGTTGCGTTGGAAGTGGTCCTTTCCCCATGAAACAGCTTTCCTGGAGCTCCACCATCTGGCTACACTGTCCCTGTGAGGACTCACTGGGGGTGTTCATGGAATTCATCTCAGCCCTCCCCAGGCCCCTGCTGGCAGCTGTTTCTGTCAGTCGTCCAGGGCTGGGATTTATTCACCAGCATTTATTCACAGACTCTAGGAAGTGAGCTCCCAGCTCCCTCCCTGTGCACAGCCATTCAGGCTGGGACCACTGGGTCCAGAATGCCAGCAATAAGTGCCAGGATCTGAGCACTGGTCAGCAAACCCCAGAGGGAGAAAAACCAGGACAATTGATGGCAAGTGCAGCTGAGAGTCTCATGCCTATGCTGAGGTGGCCAGGACCCACATGGGAAGTAGCAAAGGTATGTGTACTCAAAATGATAAATTATATGCTCCGCTTCATTCTCTGCCTGTGCAGCCCTGGAGAGCTGGGACTCCTCCAAGGGCTTTCTCTGGATCTGGACCCCTCTGGAACTGGGCAAAGGGAGCTGAGTCCAGCTCTGCTCCCCTTGGAACATGAACACGCAGGCTCCAGTAACACCTAATCCACCAGCACCACCTCCATCTGCAGTTGCAGCTCCGTAGCTTCTCCCCGTCCCTTTTCCCTCACTCTTCCCTGATACACTCAGAGAGAAAGACATGGGGGAACCCCTTACCCAGAAATCCTGTCAGAGCCTCCTGGAGCTTGTTCTCACTAGGGAAATCCCAGATTCTCTTCTCCAGCTCCAGGAATTCAGGGGCTGGATGCAGAGATGTCACCTCCTCGCCCCTGCAAAGAAACAGGTGCAATTATTTCTTTCATTCATCAACCAGAAGTTTCCCCATCCCTGAGGTCACAAAGGGAATAGGCAAGTGCTGGACCCACAAGACAGAGACTCAGTCTCATGAGCCAGTCGGTGCCTGTATAATCAGCTGGTTCCCAGCCATGGGTGTAAGGTCCTGGTATGAAGCCTTTGGTATGGTTTAGACTGTAGCATAGGTGAATTTATAAGCAAAGCTATTTTTATTTGCTAAGAGCTGAGCTATTGTGCAAGTTCCCTTGCACCTATTGAAACTATAGTGTGTGCACTTTATTGGAGAAGTCAATTTACTAATTCCTAAAACATAAAAAATCACTACAGATGAAACTATAATCAGCTGTTTGCTATTTCAGAACAGTTGAATTTTTTTTCTGTCAGAAACACCAGGCTTAACACCCCGGGCACGACTCCCCATTGTGGCCCCCAGACCTGACATCATCATGTCACAAGTTTTAGAATGACAGTGTCAGCAGTCTCTGCAGAGCCTGTACCCTGTTTTCACATTCCCGTGATTCATAAAGCAAAAGCTCACTCAGAAACAAGACTATGGACACTGTATTACCACAGCCTGTGCTGAGGCATCCAGCTCTCTCCCCACAAACCCCTGAGCCCCTCAAACAGGCAGACTTTCAGCTACTACAGGTCTCTGCCAGACCCCCAGGGTGGGAGGCCCTGAGCTCCATTAATAATTCCCTGAACCAGCCTAGCCACCAGGGCTGGGTTGCAGGGTAACAGCAGCAGCCCCAGGATCCTGGGGATGGAGGAGGCTGGATCCAGAGGGGTGACTGTCCCACTATCAGGTGCTAGGGCTAAAGCTGCAGCCTGGCCTTGGCCAATGTGGCTCACAGGGCCAGACAGAGCCTAGATGTACCTGTTCACGGCGCTTCTGACACCCTGGAAGGGAACAAGAGAGAAAACAGAAAATCAGTGCCACGGCCCAGCCCAGGCAATCCTCACACCAAGGGGAGCAGAGACCCTTTCACACCTGTTGTTCTGCAGGGATGGGGCACCCCTCTCCACCCGGCCCTGGGGCTGGTGCAGCCTTTCACCCTGCCCCACTGCCTCCCCAGCTGCTCCAACCCGTCTCTGCAGCTTTGGCCCTTGACCTGCGGACACCCCAGGCTGCACCCTCCGCACTGGGTCGCCTTGTGAGTTCCCAGGGACTCAAAACCATCATCTTCTCACCTGGGCACTGGGCACAGCTGACGTGGTCTCACCTGCAGGAGCTCATGCGCTGGCTGCTGACACTTCCCCTCCAGCTCTGCGATCAGGGCCCTCAGGCGGGCAGTCTCCTCGCACAGGCGGGCAACATTTTCCTCCCTCCTCATCACAATCTCCTCATCCAGCTCTCTCAGCCGGGCCAGCAAAAGGCTCTCGTGTTCAGCCAGGAGCTGGCGCAGGCCCTCGCACTCAAACATCACCCACTGCCTCTCCAGCTCCGTCTGCCTCTGGGATGGGCAGAGAGACATGTAAGAGGGCAGGGCAGGGACAGGGGAATGAGATGGGGGTCCAATCCTTTTCCAGGCTATGTGGAGCACCTCCTTCCAACCCCACAAGGTCCATCTTGGGGGGTTTCTGGGGGTGACCCCTTGCCTGGCTAAGAGAAGGGTTTCTCACAGCTCCAAGCTGCTTGAGCTCTCTCCTGCAAGGCAGGGGTTAGCAGGGGAAGGCCCTGAGAGCACCGCACTGCCCTGACTCAGCCATGACTGAAGAGCCTTCCCTCAGCCAACCGCCCTGCCTGAGCCACTGGCAGAGCCCCAGAAAATCTTTCCCTCCCTCCCAACTCCACTGAGCAGCACTGAAATCTGCTGCCAGTGCCGACAGCCCAGTGCCAGGCACCTACCAGGAACCTTTCACTCTCCTGCTCCCATGCAAACTTCAAGCCCTGCAGCTTTTCTCTCTTCTCCCTCAGATGCTCCAGGCGGCTTAGGATTTGCTCCTGCAAACACAGAAAATGGCTCTAGCTCCTGATTTCACTTGTTCACAGCAATAAAATCGTCTCTGCTCAGATGGAGGCTGCATGAGCATTTCCCACATGTCCAAGCCGGTGGGAGAGCACGACCCCAGCACCCCGGACAATCAATCCCAAGTCAGAGCCTAGGCCTGCCCTGTGTCGTGTTCCCCGCCACTTGCTCTTTCACTCCCAGGATCATGCCTAGGACTGATTATCAGGCAGGTCCTGGCTCCATCCCGGAGCTGATCAAACACACATGGGGGCCATGTGATGGCAGAGAAGCTAGGTATGTGTTCCCAGGCTTGGGGACAGCCCTTCCCTACCTTGTAGTCCTGGGCAGCCTCCTCCAAGGGAACCACAGTGTGAGCTCGGTGCTCCCTGGATCTATCACACACCACGCAGATCGGGGCTTCGTCTTCCTTGCAGAAGAGCTTCAGAGACTCCTGGTGCTTCTCACACACATGTTGCCCCTTGCGCTCTTTCCCCACCTGCAGCCTCAGTCGTTTCACCAGCTCGACCATGTTCCCCAGTTGCCTGTTGGGCCGGAGGTTTTGCTGTTGGTGTGTTTCCCTGCACTGGGGGCAGCAGAAGTTTGGCTCCGAGCCTCCCCAGCACTCACTGATGCAGGTGCGGCAAAAGTTGTGCCCACAGTCAATAGTCACTGGATCTGTAAAATAGTCCAGGCACACCAAGCAAGTTGCTTCTTCCTGGAAGCTCCCTGCAAAATCCCAGGCAGCCATGGCCCCTCCCCAGATGAGAACAGAAGCTGCAAGCTAGTTTCACTTTGCTGAGCCCGGAAGCCTTTTAGCTTCATGCAGTGGCCAGAGTGTTTCCCTTCCTGTTATTCATAGCAGGCCCTCGGCTGCCTCTGCAGGGAAAGCACCCGGGTCTAGGAGAGAGGGCCAGGTGCAATGGAGGGTTAACACCAGCTCTCCCTGGCCCCGGATCACTTTTCCCAGGCCAGTGCTGCAGCCTCACACTTCCAGGGCAGTCTGTTAGGGACACATCCTCCTGTCACTGTGATGGGCCAGGGTTAAACAGCAAGTGGCAAGGCACGAAAGAGGTAGTTTGGGGGTGTCGGTGCAGGTGGGGAAGGAGGGTGCTGCAGAGGCTCAGTATTAGGGGGAACAGGGGCTAAGAGAGGAATCGGGTTGGTTATTCAGATTGTGGGAAGATGGGGGCATGGCACAGGGGTACAAGGAAAGGTAACAGGCATTAGGGCTGCTGTAATGACTCTCACCCCAGGTTTCCTCCAAACCAACCACCTCCACCCTGCACTCCTGGAGTACCCTTCTGTTCTTTCCTGATCATCTAAGCTGACATATTCTGAGGGGAGCCTTGAGTCTAATGAGAGATGCCTTGAGCCTAAAAAGGTTAAGAAACACTGGGTTAGAGGGAGGCTCACCAGAGCAGATATTTGCCAAATAACTGATCCAAGAAAACGGAGTGCCTAAAATTTGGATCAACCGTATTAGAGCCCCAGGACTCAGCACCTTTTTCCTGTATGCAACTAAATGGCAGGTGTCCAATGAGCTTACTGCAGCTTTTGGCCCTTGTGCACAGCTTGCAATTCCGCATGCTCAGTGGGACTGTGCTCCTACCAGGATTGCCCAGGTATATGCCTAGGGCTGGGTATGTCCTGAAATTTTAGTGCCAGGAAAAATCCAATTCACTGATATTAAATGCCAGAAGAGGAGGTGGTACCAGAAATGGCTTTATGACGTTTTAGGCTTCATGGTTAAACCCCTTATCCAGTGAGACTGGGGTCCTAGTCCCTGCCTTACTCAAAAGAGGTTTGAAGCTGCATCTCCTGCTTCCAAGTACTCTAACGACCAGGTTGAAGGTTAGGCATTATCCGGATGTTCTCCAGTTCTCCCCTTCAAGTTGTCCCCCTTGCGCCGGCAAGAAGAGGGGTGTATGGGGCCAGAAGGATTAGAACAAGGAAGAGGGTGTGTACCTCAGTGAGATAGATGCTGCCCTGGCAGGGATAGGAACCCAAACCTGTGCTCCAAATGGGGCCGCAGAAACTTTCTGACTGCTGTTTGTCTAATGTGTATGAAATGCAGTGTATAGCGGGCCCCCTCTAGGTGAAGAGGGCCTAGAATCTGGGTCTCCCTCTCCCTGGGCAAATGTCCTAATCCCTAGGCTATGGGACTAGAAGGTGACAGGTGTTGCCTCCTCCTCCTCCATTTCACCTCCTCTATCTCATATGCAAGCTAACATGGAATTACAAACTGTGCACAAGTACAAAAATGGCAGTTCCACAACGGCATACATGCCATTTAGGTGTGTAAAGGGGAACAGAATTTAGCCCCCAGGGCACAATCCTGGCCTGGTGAAAACCAGGGCCAGACCATCAGTGGGGCCAGGATTCCCTTTCCCTGGGTTCCTGACTGTGCTAAAGCATCCTTTGTCCACATCTCACTGTCAATTTATTTCTGAAGGAGGGAAGTTTCACTGTTGAGGCCTTGCTTAGTAATTAAGCATCAAAAGTGGAGGTTTTTTGTGGTTTTGTTTTGTAAAAGTGTGTGTGTGTGTGTGTGTGTGTGTGTGTGTGTGTGTGTGTGTGTACACGTGCCTTCTAGTCACTGGTCAATACCTCCTTAACCCACCATAGGAACCCGCGCACATATTACAATACTCACACCTAGGAAAGGCGCACTAAGCATCAAAATTGTAATTCACAAAGTTACATCTTCCCACTGGTGCCTTGTACTTTCCTAGAAATGCTAAACTTGGACCTCTAGAACCAGGCATGAAGAGTCAGGATGTTGCAAACATAAACCTCCATTGAGATGCATGTCCTGGCCACAAAGCAGCTTAAAGCCTGTGTGCTTGGTGCGGTGCCCCACAACACGCAGATGCTCTGATCTTTGAGGTGATGCAGAATGCCTTAGAGCAAAGCATGTGAGCGCTATAAGCAGATAGAGAAGACTGTCTGAGCAGTGAGAAAGATACCCTGGACCTCTAACACCACAGCCCTGAGAGGAACCAGCCTCTTCATGGCCTGGCAGTGCAGCTCCCTCTTCCCTAACCATAGTTCCTACTCCTAATTCCCAGTGTTCCCTGTCAGCCCCTTTCCTTTCCCTTCCCTTTTCACCTTCTGGATAGGTTTGGCCCCTATATACACTCATTCAATCTCTCCCCTCTAGTCTGTCCCTTTTGCTCCTCTTTCACACCCTTGTGTAGCAGAACAGGTTCTGGTAGCCAGAGAGGGCAGCAGCTTCACAGTATTTTTGTTTTTTCTTGTTTTGGTTGGGCCGGGGGGGGGGGGGGGGGGGGGCCTGACACACACACACACACACACACAAACACATACAAACATACACATGTGCGCACGCACACATGTATATGTATGTATGTGCGTATTTATGTATGTATGTAATGTATGTAGATATATGTATATACATACATACATACATGCATATATATATATACCTCTACCAACCTGTCTTGTGACTGCTGTGGTTCACTTGACAGCCCAAAACACACCGTTACAGTTACACCATTCTTATTCCCATTACAAAACTTCACTGCCCACCCACATTCCCATGTGCCCATCACCTTTAACCATCACAATTACACAGCTTCAGAAGCTATGAAATACTGAGCATGCTCTGGTCACTTAACAGCAAAGTACCTAAGCCCTCACCCAGCCCCTGCTTCCCCCACCCCACAGGCGAAAGCGGGTGGATTAATAGTGAAATGTGGACATGGCTCTGCAGTCTATCAGGCAATAGGGGAATTTCAGAGAGGACTTTGAGTCCCTGTCAGTGCCAGTTTGTTCCAGGGATCTATTTTGTAGCCGTGTTGGTTTGAGAAATAAGAGATACACAAAGCTCTTGGGTCAGAGGTGATATCTTTTATTAGACCAACTAAATAAGTTTGTCCCAGGGTCTTTCTCTTCAGACAGGTACTCTCAGCTTCAGCTTCAGCAGGTCCCAGTGAGTGTTGCAGCCCGAGGTGGTGTTGAGGGGAACAGGAAGGGGCTGGAACAGCAGAGAGCAGCTGTGGCTGGAAGGAGGGTAGGCTGGGAAGGGAGAAAGGTCAGGGCTTCTGGATGCTATTGCAATACAAGCAACAAATAATATAGTGCTGATAACAGAGACAGGAAGCCACACAGCTCCTGCATCTGAGCTGTTGGTAATCAAAGCTGGGAAAAGAGACTATAGCTGCTGCCTTTTCCGTCTGATCCGGGAACTCAGGCTGAGGAGGTGCTGCTCCCCCAGCAGGGTCTGAGCTGGGAAAGATTTTGATTAAAACCCCTCTCCGGAGGCTGGAACCAGACCCCGGGGCTGCCGCTGGCTCTGCCATGAGCACCTCCTATGCTGGAGCCTCCAGGTAAAGGAGGGAGACTGCAGAGGAGTGCTGGAAAGGATGCAAAAGGCTTGAAAAGTCTTTTGTGAAGCCCTGTGCAGCCTCCAGGTACCCAGCTCCAGCTCAGGGCACAGGGTGGTCCGTCCCTGCTGTCCTCACCCGAGGGGATGTGTCCTGGTCTGTGGCTGACCTGGGCCCACTGCCCCAGGGGCTCTGAGGCTGACTGGGTGAGTGCACAAAAACATCTGGTGAGCCAGAGGTGGACAGTGGCAGAGAGGGCAGGGCATAGGGGAGGCTGTGATGTGTGTTCAATAGCAAACAGCCTTGGAAGGTACCCCAGGAGCAGAGCACTGCCTGGGGACACTTCTGACATGCAAAACGCTGGGTTTCTACCTGCGGCTGGCATTTGCACACACGTTCTCTTCCTCAGTTACCACAAGTGAAGCTGGGGGCCGAACATGCAGCATGTCAGCTACTCCCTGGTAAATGTTGATGGACACACGCTTGTAAATCTGAAGTATCTTACGCTTCTGTGCAGGTGGGGTGAGTGGCCTGCCAGTCACTAGGGTGTAAGTGTGCCCACGGGCAGTTCCCATGGAGTAACTGATGGGCTGTCAGTTTGCACGCTCACTTCCGTCACAGGAACCTGCTCCTCTGCCCACAAGTCCAGACAAAAAGGGAGAAGACTGAAGGGAAGATAACCGTGGGGGCAAAGTCAAATGGCCCTGGATCAACAGTGTAATACAGCAACTGGAGCTGCAGTCAGCCTGGAGTTACTGCGCTAATGTGCTAGTCATATAGTTTGGGAGAGAATCAGGGTCTGATGTGGACTGAAGCTGCTTCTGAAACTGCCCCATCACTCATCTTGCCCCAACAGGCTGCAGAGTAATGTCCACATCTCACTCCAGATCGTCCTATCCTTCGAGGGAAAAGGGAAAAGAAATGACTACTGTGGATCTGGCTCAGGTAGGGGAGATTTGGATCTTGCTAGCTGGGTCCTTCCTCATCAGCCTGAGGAAGAAGGGGGAGGCCAAGAAGCAGTGGGGCAGCAATGAGAAAGATGGGGAAAGGGAAAAGGCCCTGTCCTTTCACACCAGCTCCAGAGAGAAGGGAGTCTACTGGGATCCCTGCCTGTCCCTGTTGCCTGCCTCAGGTACTCTCTCTACTACCTGCCTCCAACTGGTCTGGGACACAGCCAGCGCACTCCTCATCCATCAAAACTTCCCTCCACACTCCCTGCTGTCATCTTCCCCAGTAGTCACCTCTCCTACCCTTTTCAGTCCTCCGCCTCTCCTGTCTGCTACTCTGTGCGCCTCTGTTCCTTCAGACCCTCTGAGCAACTTGGAGCTTCTGTCTCCATGAATACTAGGGGAGCTGGTGCCCCTCTCAAGTCAGGATGTCTTCCCTTCTATGTACCATGGTGTAAGGATATGGTGGCCAGGCCAAATGAGGGA